AGAGAGAGAGCGTGTGCACACTAGCGGGGAACGGGCAGATAGAGGGGAACAGAGAATCTGAAGATGGATCTGTGCTGATGGCAGAGAGCCTGACGTGGGGCTCAAAATCATGAACTATGAGATCATGACCTAAGCCAAAATTGGATGTTTAACTGAATGAGCCACCCAGGGACCCCTGTGAATCATTTATTTTATAACTGGAAGTTTGTACATCATAATCCCATTTACTAAATTGTCCTATCCCTCCCTCCAGCAAGTGATCAAGGCTCCAACCTATGACTCCTGGGTTAGGAGGCCTTTCTGTGTGTTCCTCCAGCTTCTGGAGTCACGTCTTCTACAGTAGAATTTTCATATTCTTTTATAACTCTCTATCTGTGACCCCCACTGTACTATAAACTGCCCTTTTATTTATCTGTAGTTTTGCAATACTTGATACATAATAATAATGTTAATTACATGCAACTAATTTTGCATGCATAATCTCATTGAATTCACATGACAACTCTACTATTATCTCTAATGAAGCTCTGAAAAGTAAACAACTTTCCTTAGATCTTATAGATAGATCTCATTTATAGCTAGTAAATGTTTTGAAAGTGCTAGAGTCCTTCTCAGATTGGATGAACCCTTGAGGATCTATTTTACAAAGTTGCAAAGATCAAATGACCTGATGAATAGGGTATGGATTTGTAAGCCGAAAAACTCTGGTATCAGAAATGACTAATTCCCACCCCTTCAATATTTGTCTTCTATTTTCCTTTTATAATAATAGAACCCCTGGTATTGAACTAGACACATAGTTGCCCATAACAATAACTACATTTCCCAGACTCTCTTACATCCAGGAATGGTTGTATGATTCTGTTTGGGTGAATGTGATATGAACAGGTCCACATCTATAGGACCTGGCTTTATTTTTTTATTTTTTATTTTTTTTACAAATAGTTTATTGTCAAATTAGTTTCCACATAACACTCAGTGCTCATCCCTATAAGTGTCCTCCTCTATGCCCATCCCCCCTCCCCCCCACATCCATCAGTCCTCAGTTTTTGTCAGCATTCAAGAGTCTCTCATGGTTTGCCTCTCTCCCTTTCCCCCACCATTTCCGCCCTTCTTCTCCCCCTTGTTCCTCCGTCAAGTTCCTCCTAATCCTCCTATACGTGCAAACATATGATATTTGTCCTTCTCTGCCTGACTTATTTCGCTCAGCATAACACCCTATAGGACCTGGCTTTAAAGAGGAGTGAGCCTCCTCCTTTCTTTTCTCCTTCCTTCTCGCTAGGCTATGGACATGGTGGTGATGAGTCATCTTGGATCATATGGATAAGATAGAAGGAGCCTGGGAATTCTGGCTTTATGGAATTCACATACTTACTCTATACTGCTTCTTCTTTTTTTTTTTTTTTAAATTTTTTTTAATGTTTTATTTATTTCTAGGAGAGAGAGAGAGAGACAGCGTGAGCAGGGGAGGGCCAGAGAGAGAGGGAGTCACAGACTGAAACAGGCTCCAGGCTCCGAGCTGGCATTCAGCACAGAGCCCGATGCGGGGCTTGAACCCACGAACCGGGAGATCATGACCCAAGCGAAAGTCGGACGCTTAACCGACTGAGCCACCCAGGCGCCCCTATACTGCTTCTGTCTGGATGATTGTGACAGGGAGAAATAAGCTTCTACCTTATTTTAGCCATTTGAGATCTCTGTTATAGAATTTAAACATATACTTTAACTTACTTTAATTAATGTAGTCTATTCACAAAGTGGAGGGATTATCCTTATTATTCCTATGCAGAGGCTTTGAGACTGCATGCAGACTATATCATAAGAATTAATTTTCTTGGGGGTGTTTGGGTGGTTCAGTCAGTTAAATGTCTGATTTGATTTTGGCTGAGGTCATGATCTAACAATTTGTGGGAGACTGCACAGTTCTGCACTGGTGGCACAGAGCCTGCTTAGGATTCTCTCCCTCTCTGTCTGCCTCTCCCCCCACCCCTTCTCTAAATAAATACTTAAAAAAAAGAATTAATTTTCTCTTTTCAGTAAAAGACATTACCATTCAACTAGTTTTCTCAGGTCAAAAACCTAAGAGTATTTTCCTTTTATTTTTATTTATTTATTTATTTTCCTTTTAAAACAAGTTTTTATGGGGCACCTGGGTGTCTGACTTTGGCTCAGGTCATGATCTGGCAGATTGTGAGTTCGAGCCCCTATTGTCAGTGCAGAGCCAGCTTCAGATCTGTCTCCCTCTCTCTCTACTTCTCTCCTGCTCTCTCTCTCGCTCTCTCTCTCAAAAATAAATAAACATTTGGGGTACCTGGGTGGCTCAGTTGGTTAAGTGTCTGACCTCGGCTTAGGTCATGATCTCATGGTTTTTGAGTTTAAGCCCCACATTGGGCTCTCTGCTGTCAGCACGGGGCCTGCTTGGGATCCTCTGTCCTCCTTTCTCTCTCCATCTCTCTCTCTCTCTCTCTCAGCCGCTTGAGCCCACACGCTCTCTCTCTCCTCTTTCAAATATAAATAAACATTTATAAATAAATAAATACAAAAGCTTTAAAACCCCACACACCTGCAACAAACAAATAAATAAATCAGCTTTCTTGAGATATGATTGACATGCAATAAACTGAATATGTTAAACTGAACAATTTGAGAAGTTTGTAACCAGGAAACTATCTCCATAATCGCGATACTAAACATATCTGTCACTACAAAAGTTATGCAATGCTCCTTTATAATTCCTTTCTTCTATATTCTTACCAGTCCCCTTCATCCTCAGTCCTCTCTGGTAACTACTGATCTTGTTTGTTTGCATATTCTAGAATTCCATATGCATGGAATCATATAGTATAGGAATGACCTTTGGTTCCTCTCTTTGTTTCTCTCTTTTTAAAGTTCATTTATTTATTTATTTGAGAGAGAGAAAAAGAGAGAGAGCCAGGGAGGGACAGAGAGAGAGAGAGGGAGAGAGAGTCCCAAGCAGACTCTGTGCTGCCACCTCAGAGCCCCATGTAGGGCTTGAACCGACAAACCTCGAGATCATGACCTGAGCCAAAACCCGACTTGGACGCCTAACCAACTGAGCTACCCACGTGCCCCTGGTTCCTCTCTATCTTTCATTGCCTCTCCCCTGATCCCAATCCATTCCTTCATCAAATTAAGTAACCTCTACCTGAACTTATCTACTTCTTTCTATCTCCATTGCTATTATCCTCACCCAGACTACCATCATGTCTTTCACACCACTTCAATAGTTCCTAACTGGTCTCTTTGTTTTTATTCTTGTTTCTTCCAATCCATTCATCACCTAGCACCTACAATGAACTTTTTAAATATTTTTAAATTAAAAAAAAAATTTTTTTTTAATGTTTTACTTACTTTTGAGAGAGAGATAGAGACAGCATGAACAGGGGAGGAGGTCAGAGAGAGAGGGAGTCACGGAATCTGAAGACAGGCTCCAGGCTCTGAGCTAGCTGTCAGCACAGAGCTCAATGCTGGGCTTGAAACTACAAACCATGTGATCATGACCTGAGCTGAAGTCAGACGCTTAACCGACTGAGCCACCCAGGCGCCCCTATTCTTTTTTTTTAATGTTTATTTGTTTGAGAGAGAAACACATAGAGTGCAAGTGGGGGAAGGGCAGAGAGAAAGGGGCACACAGAATCTTAAGTAGGCTCCAGGCTTGAACTGTCAGCACAGAGCCTGAAGTGGGGCTCAAACTTAAGAACTGTGAGATCATGAGCTGAGCTGAAGCCTGACAGTTAACTGACTGAGCCACCCAGGTGCCTAGAATTCTTGAGACTTTTTTGGTACAAAAAGGTGTTTTTACTAAAGCACAGGGACAGGACCTGTGGGCAGAAAGAACTGCAATGGGATAGTGAGGAGTGACTGATTATATACAGTAAAACCTTGGATTGCAAGTAATTTGTTCTGAGAGTGATCCACAAGATAAGTAAACATTTCTAATAAATTTTAACTTGATAAATGAGCGATCTTGCAATAAGAGCAGTTGATGATGCTGAATGTCACATGATCCCAACTGAGCCAATGGTTCTTAAAATTCGCTTTAATGTATGGATGCTTTGGATTACAAGAATGTTTCCTGAATTATGCTCTCATACCAAGGGTTTACCATAATTGGCGAGTTGGGGGTGGTAAAGACAAGGTGAAATTTCCAAAGGACTTTCATATGCTAAAGAAGATTCACAAGATCCTATTTTTAGCTAAGGGTTTCCCCCCCTCTAGCAAAACATTAAAGCAGTTGGGAGTTCTGGAGGAATGTCATACTCTGCCTGTCTGAAGTATTTGTCAATGGACTTCAGGTTATGAGGAAATTTATCTACATTTCCTCTTGCCCTTGTTCTCCACATCAGGTAAAACATCCATTTCATCCATTTCTAAAGTCTAATTACTATTCATCCTTCTGGTTCAAATGCCAAAGCTTTTACAGCAGATTCTCAGAATGTGGTCTGCAGGTAACTTACATTGGGTGATAAGGGAAGTTTCCGAAAACACAAATTTCCTGGCCCCAGTGTCAAAGTTTCTAAATAAGTAAGTTTGGGGTGAGGACCAGAGAGTCTGTACTCTTTTAATAAACTTATTTGGCCTCTCTTGAGAACTACTGTGTCTAGAAGGTCTTCCAGGGGATTTCAGTAGAAATAAATTCTTTGGAAGAACACTTCAACGAAGACTTCTGGTCTCCTCCAAACTGGCCTGCCTGAGGCTCGGGCTGATTCTTCCACTTCCCTGACAGTACAGGGACTAGCTGAGGGAATGAATGCCTGAAAAAGTTTTGGCTGGATCTGCATACAACTCTATTCAGCAGGCACAAAGTAAGCTATTTGTCAAAGTGCTTAAAACCATCCTCAGAATCAGCGTGCCAGGTCTGATAGGTCACGTGAGGAAGACATAACGGGTACCCGTAATATTTCAAGAAGCCCTAGGGCGATTCATGCGCAGGCGCAGAAAGAAAGGGGGCATTCAAACCTCCAAGGCGCGCCCCTCCCCCACCATTTTTTCCTGGCTTTCCCCTACTGCGCAGGCGCACCGAGTGAACCAAGATGGCGGCTCCCGTGGATCTGGAATTGAAGAAGGTAAAAGAGGGTCCCTCACCTGGCAGAGTCTTCTCTTTGAAAGCTAAGGGGACTGTGGCCAAGAATATCGAGTGAGACTCGAGTCCGGAGGAAGGAAAGAGGCCCCAGGGAACTGGGGAGTGATTCCCCAGAGTCCTAAGGCGGGACTGGGTCTCCTTACGATGGCGTGGATGGCGTGGGGGGGGAGCAGCTCTTTCTGCCTAAGAGCCGGTTGAGCTGGTTTGGATTAATGTGGCGTACTGATAGCTGGCCTGGCCTCTCGTTCTGAGCTCCAGAGCCGTTTCGTTGCGTGGAGCCTTCAGTTCCATAGTAAGGCTGAAGTAAGCGTTTCAAGTTGGAGCCCTTTCGGACGGCTTGCCCGGGCCAAGGCATCTGTAATTCTTAATTTTCATTTGCTTTGAAAAACTCCGAAGTCCATCCTGTATTTTTAGGCCACTTACTCCATCTCATGCTTTGAAAGGTCGTAGTATGTACATACTGTCCAAAGTTAATCTCATAGACGTCATAGCAGGGCTCTAACTCCCAGGCCTGCCTCCCCTTCGCCCTTTCTTGAAGGACCTGCCAAAAAAAGAAACAACAAGCCCGTAAAATTTGCCAAATAAAATCGGTATCAGAAGGAATTGGGTTTCTCTCTTCAAACTGTTGCTTAGAAATGTGTTGTTACCCAAAAACGTTTTTGCCACTTAAGGGTTGTCAGGGAAAGCATCCTGGATCTCATCAACTTTAAACCTGTACTTTTATAGAAAAGGAAACTGAGTTTCAGAAAATATTTAGTCCAAAGTTGGGATAAGAATCCACTATTCTCTTATTCTCTCCACACCTTTTGTTTATTAATTTAGATTCTTCGGAAGAGCAAATTTTACGTCTAAACACATCATTGGGGCAAACCTTTCCGTATGAAATAATATAGCTCAAATATTTGTTGCTCCTATCAAATGAAGCTGTTATCCCGCTGAGGATTTGTGTGTACATAACTTGGTTTTTTGTCTTTCTTCTTTTGAAACTTGGAAGTTTAGCCCTTAACGTGGTGTTCTCTAATGCTGTAATAGCTTGAACTATATACCAGCTTCTTTAGCAGTGTGTACAGAACAGTCAGGTGTGACCTGTAAGTTTACCTGCAAAACAGTTAATTTGAAGAATGCTTAAAGCATTCTAAAAGTTTACCTTTTTTTCTGTTAAAAGTTCTAATGTAAGTCAAGGTTTAGTGAAAGACCTAAATAGAGTACAGCTGTGAGTGGACTTAACTCCCAGGATTTGAATTTGTTGTTAAGAAACCCCTGGACAATGAATGCAAACTAAGAAAATGATTAGAGACTTAAATGGTATAGTTTTGACAGCCAATTAGATTAACTAAAAAAACAAACTTGTTGGGGTGCCTGGGTGGCTCAGTTGGTTAAGCATCCACCTTCAGCTCTGGTCATGATCTCACGGTTCATGGGTTCGAGCTCACATCTGGCTCTGTGCTGACAGCCGGCTCAGAGCCTGGAGCCTGTCTTAAGATTCTGTGTGTGTCTCTCTCTCTCTCAAAAATAAATAAAACATTAAAAAAATTTTAAAAAACAAACTTGTTATTTACAGGTTTCATCTAATATCTTTATAAGGTCTTTGTTGGGGGAGTGGTGGAGACTAATGGGAAATTTCAGGCACCTTCTTTCTCCCCAAATCAATCTTTTGAAACCTAATAGGTGAGAACAAAGTCAGAAAAAAGTTAAGTAGAGACCTTTGCCATGTAATGCAGTCACAAATGTTGTTATTAAGGTATAAATTTGACAGCAGCTGAAAGTCATTCCAGGCACTTAAATAAGAGTATCCAAGAACTGTGTTTATCTTTAAGTGTACAGGAGGGTCAAACTTGGCTTGGTATGTACATATGAAGATCATGATGCAATTCTACCAATGCTTTGAATTTTTTTATTCTTTTAATCTTTATTTTAAAAATATTTGTTTCCTGAATGTTACTGTAGACAGTATAATAGAAACATACCTAAGGGGTCAAGAAGAAATGGGTTTAAGTACCTACCTTTCCTTATAATACTTCAACCCTGTGCTAGCCATTTACATCTCTTCAACAAATTTGGTTACTTTATTAAAAAAAATTTCTTTTTTAATGTTTATTTATTTTTGAGAGAGAAAAAGAGACAGAGCACAGGCCGGGGAGGGGGAGAGGGAGAGGGGAGACACAGAAACTGAAGCTCCGAGCTCTCAAACAGCTGGATGAGGGGCTTGAAGTGGGAGATCATGCCCTGAGCCACTCAGGCACTCCTAATTTCATTACTCTAATCTGTAAAGAGTGATGATGAAAACTGCCATTCCTAAGTCATAGAATTATTGAGAGGAGTAAATGAGATATTACTATATTCCTCAGTGTTCTCATATTAATATTCCCATGTTAGTATTTCAAACAAATGTGGGAAAGTGTTTTGCATCCTAGCCGTGTAACACAAATGTAGTGAGTTGTTAGAGTTAGTTGTTAAGGTGCATCTGTTCTGCTTCACGAAGAATGCATCTTCTGAGGATAGGATAAATTCACGATTTAGTATGGTGGCTTGATTGTTTACAATTGTATTGACTTTTATTGATGTTTGTGTTGGTAAATTTCACAACTCTGTTTCTGGTTATCATGCTTTATTTTAATATATTTGGATTTGACTCAAATGTTTCCTGTAAAATGTTTCACCCACTAAATGAAGGACTTCTTCTTAGGCCTTCACAGAGCTTCAAGCCAAAGTTATTGACACTCAACAGAAGGTGAAGCTTGCAGACATACAGATTGAACAGCTAAACAGAACGAAAAAGCATGCACATCTTACAGATACAGAGATTATGACTTTGATAGATGAGACTAACATGTATGAAGGTGTGGGAAGAATGTAAGTAAAACATATACTTAAGGGGGTTATTGTGGGAGAGATTTTTGTCTAGAATTTGTTCATTTTAAAAGTTGAGTTAAAGTATCATAGAAACTTTGAAGATCATCTAGTCAAATACATACTTTTTAAAAATGCTAACTGAACCCAAAGTAGATGTGTTTAATTTTAGACTGAAGTACATTTCTTAAATGTTTTCCTCTTCTCTCTGTGATCAGGTAGGTACTTAAGTGTATCAGTTCAATGACAGAAATAGGATTTGTCATGAGAAGACGTTTATAGTAATTTTGTGTGTGAAGATTTATTTAAGTAGGTGTAGTTTTAACTTCTCCTTCCTTACCTGATTTTTTAGGAGTCGTACAAATCATAGATCCTTTAGATGTTGGACCAGTGTTGTAAGATAAAAATGTTCATTTATCATTTTAATACACTCATTCTGTCTTGCATGAGAAATCAAATAAACCAATTTACCTTTTTCTTGTTCTAATTTTTATATGATTAACCACCTATACCTCATTTTTTTCTTTTAAGAAATATGTTACTCTTATAAGAGAATAGATCAGCTTCATGTTCTCTAAACAGTAAATAAGGAATGGATAAGCCCTTAACTACAGGTCACATTCCATAACAGTGAGCTAAAAGGAGAAGACTGTCTTTTGTTGTTGTGTTTTTTTTAAGTGGGGGAGGTACAAGAGGAGGGTTTTTCTGGAATTTGGTCTTTGAATGTTACTTAGTAAACGGACCATAACTTCAAGTTTGGAAATCTTTTAGTTGAATGGAATTTGACCTCAGTCTTAGGATGACTTGTTTCGTGATTGATTTGAAAGAAACATAACATGTGTAACATTTAGTAATGGCTTTGGAATGACATCATGAGAAGTAGACTCTGCTCATGAATAGCTACTCCATTTCTTTCTGGAAAAGAGAGAGATCATGATAAATATGTGATTTGCTTTCTCAGAATAAACAATATATCACAGATAAATTTTATCTCTAGTTCATATTTTTCATTTTAACTTATTTTGAGGAGAATCCCACATTGACAGTTTATTATTATGACAGAAAAGAATTGGGATGGTAGCAAAGTAGAACCCTTGAATATATATATAGTACAGGTGCATTGTTGGCATTCACTACAGGATAATTTTATTCTTAATGTGAGTATCCTTAGGTCTTAAACAGTAATGGTAGCTTTTCCAGCATACATGTTAACATTTCGTACTTGGATTTCACATCAGTGTTAGCCTTTCCAACAGTTAAACAATTTCTTTTACCAAAATAGAAAATCTCTTTTGACCGTCTTTGACCTTTTGAGCTAAATGAAGTTTTTAGTTTTAATCAGAATAATTTAATTTATTAAACATTCTCCAGAAGTGCTAGGTAGTTGCTTTTTTTGCATACTGCCCTAAGTGCTATAGCTAAATTGTATTCCACACAAAGAAGCCTAGGGGTAAAAGGCTGGGATATGATTTAGTTCATGGTAGAAAAGTAGTAGTAGTTCCAGAAGATTTATTTTATGTAAAATAAATACATTGTTGTAAATTTTTGGATAAAGTGGAACTTCCTCCATAGGTTCAAACTTTGGTTTTCAATTTGACTTTTGTGCTTTCTGCATCTCACTAGGAGTGTAAATTTGACCCTGCATTGTGGGGGCATGTAAGGTGACTAGAGTTTGTTGTTTGGCTAGAGTATTAGTGCCCTCAGGAAGAAAAGACTTGCTGAGTATTAGTCTGGTCATGAGGATATTCTCCTTGATGCTAAACCTGAAATAACTATTTCTGAATTTATAGTCTTGAGTAATCTTGAGTATCCTTGTGATTCACGTCTTTAATTCTAGTCTTTACCTTAATTTGTCTTTTGTTTTTTGAATATTATTTGGGAATTCCAATTAGAATACTAATTTTTCTCAAACTGTTGTTTTAAAACCATGAGTTCTAGAATCCAAAACACTCCATTTTGTTTAGAGCCTGCCGTAGATTTTTGCCATCACTGAAATTCGGGCTTCATTGTATCTTACCTGGATTATTGCAGTAGCCTCTTAGCTGTGTTTTGTCCCTTTATTCTGTCTGTTCAAATATACTCTTCATACATCTGCCGGTATTCATCACATCTATATTTTTCATAAAATTCTTTGATCTGTTGCCCACAGGATAAAATCTAAACTTCTTAGCTTGGCATTCATGTTGATTTATATAATCTGTCCTTAATGTACCCCTCTAGCCTCAAGTCCCACCACTTTCTAGTTCCAGGCTCGGTATACCATGTAAATTTCATCTCATGGACTTAACATCCTTCCACTGATTTTGATTGATCTGTTGAAAAGGACTGAGTCTCATGTGGGTTTTAAACATGCTTTAAATGATTCATAAGTCTGTCAGGGGTGAAGGTAGAAGAGTAGTAAGTAGTACATGGACCGGAAATAGTTGTCTCTACTTTTGCCACAGGGCTTTGTCTTTGTTTTTCTTTTTTGAGAGAGAAAGAGCTGGGACATGGTGCTCTTGAGCAGGGGAGGGGCAGGAGACAGAATCCCAAGCAGGCTACCAGCTGTGAGTGTGGAGCTGAATGTGGGGTTTGAATTCACGGATTGTGAGATTATGACCTGAGCTGAATTTGAATTGAACCGACTGAGCCACACAGGTGCCCCATCAGATGCTTTGTGCTTTCTTGCTTTTGTTCATTATGTCCTTGACTTGAAGTGTCCTCTTTCCCTTGTGAAATTTTTATCCTTCAAGGAGGGCAGTTGTTGGAACGAGCAGTGGGTGTTATATGGAAACCACTTGACAATAAACTATTTAAGAAAAAAAAATAATAAAGAGAGAAATTTTTATGTTTCAAGATGTAGCTCATCTTCTCTGAAGATTTTTCTGTCCTCCCTGGCAGACTTATTCACACTTTCCTGGGCGATACCAGAGCTTTTGTTTCTGTAGCTAGTACAGTGCAGAGAGAGAGAGAGGGAGAGAGAGAGAGAGAGAGAGAGAGAGAGATGGATGATTGATTTCTAAGTGGGTCATTTTCCTCAACTAGATTGTCAGCTCTATAAAACCATATACATCTTTATCTTTGTTTCCTCAGTTTTCAACATACTGTTTGGCATAAAATAGGTGTAAAATGTGTCTTTTTTTTTTATTTTTTTTTTTAAATGTGTCTTGATTTGAATTGATAATGATTCTTTTGCCTAAAATAACTACATTTTCTTTTGTTTCTTCAACAAAATATGGTTAGAAAGTCAATGACTTAAGAGTTAGGTTTTCTTATTTTGTTTTAAAATATGATTTAATAGGGAGGCCTGGGTGGCTCAGTCGGTTAAGCGTCTGACTTCGGCTCAGGTCATGATCTCATGGCTCGTGGGTTTGAGCCCCGCATCGGGCTCTGTGCTGACAGCGGGCTCAGAGCCTGGAGCGTGTTTCAGATTCTGTATCTCCCTCTCTTTCTGACCCTCCCCCTGCTCATTCTGTCTGTCTCTCTCACAGAAAAACAAAATAAAACAAAACGAAAACATTAAAATATGATTCAACAAAGATGAAATTGTAAAAGTAACATTTTGACTAGGTCAGAGCAGTTGTTTCTTATCAAAATTAGGCCCTTTGATTGATAGAATAAATTCTTTATTAAATCTCCTGAGAAGGTTAACCAGTTGTAAAAGTCAACCAGTTGTAGAGGTAATCAGTTAGAAATGGCAATATAGAAAAACCTAAGCATTTAGAATTAGGCCCAGGGCAGTATAATCTTTAGAGAATAAAAGCTATTATATGTAGAATAATATCAATATAGTATCTCTTTTACATTCTTTATCTCCATATAGGATGGAAGTCACATATTCCTTTATAGGGTATGTATTTAGTTTAACCAAATCATTGCATGCCCAGATGTCTTTCCAGACACAGGTTTAGAGAAATTTGGTAGTGTTAAATGACCTCCTATATATGGCTAATTTTGGTTTTATACAACTAGGGGTAAGAGATGATGAATGGCTATGCTATATACTGTAAACTCTGTGTATTCATTGCTCAAAGCTATAGTCCATCCAGTCTCTTGGCATGTTGCCAGCACATTTCAGTTCTCTTACTTCATATTCTTTGGAGAGGCTGTTATGTAGCCTGATACTACTACCACCAATTTCTAGTTTTGCTACTTAAGCTATTTGTGAGCTGACCTCACCATACTGCTTTGAGAACTGTGATGAAAGTTACAACTGTGGAATGATCTGTCTGAATAGTTGCAAGTGTTTGTCTTTGCATCTTTCTAGCATGCAAGGAGGGAATAGACACAGTTCTCAAATAATACGTGAATGTTTCTTGTATCCTTTTTTTCCTTCAATAAGAACCAGTTTATAAGGGTTTATGGTTTCCCCCCCCTTTTTGCACACTAGAAGTTAGAATTTTTAAAAAATAAGAATTACATTTGAAAGTGCAGGTAGAGGACATTTAGCCATGCTAGCTTTTGAAAGGGCCATCATTAGAATAAATGTCAGACTTATTTTTATTAACAATAGGTATGATCCCGACCCTGATTTGATATCAGGTTTATTATTCTATGATTCTAATGTCCTTTTATTTGAGCATTACATACACTTCTTTTTTCCAAGAGAGACAAATTAAGCTTTTAATTTTTTTTTTATATGGGAGGAACTTGAGTAGTCTTTGAGAAGAATTAGTGTCTTTTTAAAACTTGAACCTAACTAAAAATAACTTTGTACCATATTTAAACCAATTTAGAGGTATGCCACCATTCTGCGGGTATTTTTTACATTTAAGGAACTAAGAATGAACAATGGTATAAATCTACCAACTAGATAAGTGTCTAGCAATGCAGAAATTGCTGTTTGGGAGCGGTGTTGCTATTTCTACTTGTTGAAGTAATTTGATGGTTGATCTCTAATGGTTGAAAGATCCAGAAGTGTAAAACCGAAGATAAATGTGGCACAGGTAGAAAGTAAAAACCGTAGATTTTCCTGATAGGGAACCAATTAACAGTGACAAAAATCTGACCAGTTGAGCAACTTT